AGACCTAATCGGGTCACTTAAGTCAATTGACTTTGCTTCGAAATGCTTGTTCTTTTGTTCCATAACAGTCGCATGGAGTCGACATGTTAACTTGTTGTGTCCCTCTTGAAAGCAGTGGCGGCATTTGTAAGTAGCTCCAGACTTCGAATCCCCAGAGCTACCGATACGTCTTTTTTGTCGTCGTCCAGTTTTTTTGTAAAACAATGGCGGATTAATCTTCACTTGTGGTGTTCTGGTGTTGACAACCAATTCAATCGACTTACCCAGAAAACCTTGCTCAAACGTTTTGACCAAATATGCAGGATGAAAAGCTGCTGTTATGTCGATTGTAGATCCATTAGCATGCAATACGGCAACAAGGTGTCTGCAAGGCAATCTCATTTGCATAAAAGTTGAACAAGAGCAACTTAAAGCCTCAACATCAATGCGCCGATATTTTGCGTACCCTTGTTTCGAGGCAAACCATATAGTGGAGTTCGACCGCACAACTTCATATCCACCTGCAGCTGCTTGTTCTTTTTTCCAAAGAGACCTCGCACGAGGAGTCACAGAAAGTTTCTTTGTTCTCCATTGTTTAATTTGATCTTGACGCATGCAAAAATTTTCCATAGTCGCCTGTGTTAAAATTTTCAATGCTTCGAGAGGCGATGCGTCACGAATTCCATGAACAAGCATGGTGTTGTTATCGCTTTCGACAAAGTTAGTGGTGCGCCACCCAAAAAGAGAACATGGTGTCATTGGTAAAGATCGATTATCTTGGTGATACGTGCATGTGGCCACATTTGTGCTTGACGTCGTGAACTTTCTGACATTTAAATTTTCATCGACATTTTCCATTTGCATATTCGCAAATACAGTCCAATAAATGGAACCGATATTCCCGATGTATGTGGCAACATCATCTCCAAACTTTATTCGCACCTTTGTAAGAGCTGCGTTATATTCGATCTCGGATTCTGCTGCTTGAATTTTCCACACAGCATTCTCGAATTCAGATCCAGAACACCCAAAATTCCGTTTGATGTTGCGCAAAATATGCAAAGTACAGAATCGAATCTGGAGGATGATACCTGTCGTTGCGTATACATCTTTCACGGAATCTTGTATCTTCCCACGATCACACATTATCGCGACATTCACTAAATTAATTCCAGCATTAATACACTGAATGAAAAACCATGAAATGTTGTCCTTGTTCTCCACATTTACGAATGCAGTAGCCAACGTAATGTTTTGCCCATTTCCGTCTCGACCAATGAGAGATAGTATCACGCCATTTAATTTGTGATGTCGTGAATGCGTTCCATCAAATCCAACCACCGGAACATTAAACTGTTGGCTGCTTACAGACACTCCAAAGGCCACAAAAAAGCGGAAAAATCGATTCTCTTGGTCCACTTCGAGCACCACAGTGCTGGATACGTTCAAGCGCTTTAACTCAATCAAATGTGGAGCTAAAAGCTCAAATGACGACTTCCACTCGCCTTCCATCTCTTCAATTACCGCTTCTTTGGCTTCGTAAGTCTTATTTCGATAATTTTGAAGGTTCGATCCATCACGAACGCGGACTAGAGCCACTATTGCCTTGCGCTTGATGCCCTTGTCACCTCGAACCGCAGCACTAAAAGTAGGAAAAAGCTTGATTTGACGTGCTGAAGGCTTGGCAGTCGCAAGACACACATCCGAGTGAACATCAACAAGCGTCGAAATGTAGTACTCAGAAGATGCACCCTTTCTCTGTCGCCTCGTCACGCGGACTTCCCACGGGCACCCGTCTTGTGGGCACACATACGTTTTGCTTCCACCACTGCACCTCTTGACCTTGCACTGTCGATTTTGATTAAAACAATAGTCCTGTATAAACACAGTTGCAGCAGCGCCCGTCTGAAAAATGTGTCCCTTTGACAGTACATTGGTACCGTAAATTTCTTCCATGTCAATCATCGCCATTTTGGGAGAAACCAAGGTGTATTATTTAATGTGTCTACATAACAAAGTTGACTAGGACAACGCACATAAAAATTATGTGGTCCAAATAAATGTGTGGTCCACACTTAATAAATGTGTGGACCACATTATAAACTGGGTGGTAAATATTTATAGGCTATGTGGACCACATTAATAAAATGTGTGGTCCACATATGTCCCACTCTTTGTTGGCCCGTCTCAGAACTGGTGCTGGTTTCAGGACTTTTACACAAATCTACTGCTGGTTTCAGGATTTGTTCTCTTGGTGCCACCCTAATCTCGCACGCAGAAGACACCAGTGTCGTCCATATGCTGTCCGAGCGTATCCGGGTCTGGAAGAGTTGTACAGCGGTACACGCGACTTTCTGGTCGAGTTGAGCTATCGTCGTCATGTGTTGATCTGGGATATCAGCGAGGCATCGGAGAGGGCCACACGGGCACTTATCACGTCATTTGCACGTGAAATGCCGAGTCACAGAGGGAATCCTGTCGCGATGCCACTAGGCAACGGCAATGAGGTTCAAGAGTGGTTGTCAGCGGATCGAGTGCGAAGTGCGCCGGCACGCGGAGCAAGAGCTGGCGCATATCGGGATGTAGGTTTGGACTACATGTTACCGGTCAACTGGAGGGGTTTTGCTGAGTCGACATCTTGAAGCGCAATGGACCGAAGGAGATCACTGCAGTCCAGGTGACTGAAGCAAGGGCTCGCGAAAGTACGACCGACACCTGGTGATCGATTCACCTTGATGCGAGTCAGATGGGTTCTGCGTTGTGGAGATGCAGCTGACTTTGCAGACGACGCTGACGTGACAGCTGAGTCCAGCGTCTTTTGTCTCGAGCGCATAATGCCGACAGCCCGTCATTGTCGCCTGCGGATCGCCGTGACGCAGTGGCGTGTTTCGTGAGCAGGATGGACAAGGAGACGCCATGGATCAACAGCAGCTGAGTGAGCGTTGCGAAATTGGTGGTTCGTAGAGATGTAGCTGGAGTACTTCACCGCCCCTGGTCTTTTGTCTTCAGGAGCGAGGGGGGAGCAGATGCATCTGGAGCTGCCTAATCGTTCAGGGGCGTGCAAAAGCACTAAATGGAGGGGACCAATGCGCAACGCCTACTAATCGTCGACGGTATCGAATAAATGGGACTCTTTCGTTTTCAGAGTGGACCTCACACACCAACACGCGTTCTGCACGCAGTTGTTGAACGGCACTCTGGGTCTTTTTTTAACGTAGGAGAGGAGTTGTGCTACCAGTGAGGCGTACGACGACGAGTCGGCGGGTGACTCGAGTCATGTAGAGTGGAATGCCCTGGTCAGTGGCAGCAGTACGCAAATTACGATGTGGTCAATTGTAGCGCCGTCTTACGCAAACAGCTGACGTCCTTCAGCTACTCGCGCGCTCACTATGCTATCTAAAAATGACGACGATAACGTTTGACCACTTGACTGTAACAATGGCGTGACCAACGAAGAGGCTACCGACAGCATTAGAGGGTCGCGCTTCTATCTGCGTGTGAAGTGTTTCGCGTACTCAAAATATGAGGCCGCCTCATTCCACTGTTTCTTCCAGCGAGTGAGCTCCAGACCGTGACAACACTGTTGCTGTTTTATATCTCGGGGTGGCTACAAAGTGGGTGACAACGTAGAAAGTGGGGAGAATCCACGAGTGGCCAATCGCGACATTTCCCCGGAGCTCGCGTGGGCTGTGCATGCAAAAGAAATGGTCGCCTGTCTATACTGTGACTCAATCGACGGCAGGAAAGACGTGTCTAGCAAAAGCACATGGCGATAAGAAAGACAAAAAAGAAGCATTGAGTGAAGCGGTATTGAAGTTTGGACGCGAGCAAAAAAAAATTTTTTGCGGGAGAGGTGAGACGGCAGCAAGTGAAACAGACATGGGCAGCATGTGAGGAAGCTAGTGCGTTAAATATGCATGTTTGACCCTTTTGTGCCCAATGGTAACATACTAAATAGCTCCCAGCTCCCACTGAGCCTCTATTGAATCGTCTTGTTTTGAAGCTACTCTTACTCGCAAATTGACATACACATGTTAGTCGTACGCACATACATACGTTGGAGCAAATGCGATTCGCGTCGCCGTGTCGAGGCCGCAGTTGGAGTCTGACTATGGCGGGTCACCGAGGGGGGTGAATTGCGTTGAAACGACGCGACTCGCCGCTGCTCCAACGTATGTATGTGCGTACGACTTACATGTGTATGTCAATTTGCGAGTAAGAGTAGCTTCAAAACAAGACGATTCAATAGAGGCTCAGTGGGAGCTGGGAGCTATTTAGTATGTTACCATTGGGCACAAAAGGGTCAAACATGCATATTTAACGCACTAGCTTCCTCACATGCTGCCCATGTCTGTTTCACTTGCTGCCGTCTCGCCTCTCCCCTTTTTCGCATAGCCCGCAGATCGATGACGCCGAGTTGCCCCGCCATATGTGATTGAGGAAGCGATCGCTCAGCATTGGGGTATCTTTGAGTATGTGATCGCTTTTACATACCGGTCGATCAGAGCAGATCGAATGGATGTGTTCGCTGCACACGGTTGTTGTGGATGTGGGTGGTCGCATAGTATACGCATCAGCGGGCTCATTGTCATTGCCAACCGGTGTTGGGACGTTGCCGACTGCTGCTTATTAGTACCATTGGCTTCCGCGTACATGGGTCCACGCAGGCTCTGACCCCAAAAAGCCTCCGGATCACTACTGCCTGGCTATCTCCTGACGATGAAGACGCGTGCGGAAAAATGTGGACAGTTGTCGAGCTCAAGACAATGGTTGATACGTGTGGAGTGCTCGAGTTGCCTCTTGGCTCTGTAGCAGGACAGTCCACGTACGACTCTACAAGCGCGTGTCGCGTCGCTGTCGTAACCGGTCCATGAGCCAATTTCAGGATCGGAGCTGCTCATCCGATTGCGCGATCTCGTCGAGGAACAAGGGACGCTGACCTTTGTACCTCATCTCTCAATTCAACGGTCATTGCACACCACGACCTGCCCATCTCCTCTCTACTTAAACACCAACTACACATGCGCCTTGCGTTCATTGCAGCGGCAGCTCTGGCCGCTGTCTTCACATGCAGCGACGCACTTCCCACTGCCACTGGGGGTCTGAGACCTGTTCTCGAGTCCAACGCCGCTGCCGTGGACCGCTTGACGGATGGCGCCTTTATCGATGCTGACACGGATAGGTTTTTGAGGGCAGCTCAGAACGAAGACGACTCGGTACCGATAGAACTTGCTCATGAGGAAAGGCGTCTTGGTGCCTTTTTTCCTGAAAAAGTGACGGCATTTGTCAAGCGAATGGGACGGAGTCCCCTGGCGGGTGATGCTCTCAATGCTGTGCTGGGTTTTGCGGCAAAGCATGAAGCAGGATTTAAACGTGCGAATACGTTGCGCCGAAAGTTCCGCAAGACGGGCAAGGGAACGTGACGCCGGCATTGATATCGAAGCTACAATCTAAAGTTCGCATTACTCAACACCAGGATCATGACGATCGTTGAGGAGGTTAAACCCAGTAATTTAGGTATTTTTGCAGCACCGCAGGGTGAATAGTGTGAAGCCCGGAGCTGGCGGTGTAGATATCATGGAGACCGCAATTTGTGGCGTGAATAAATTTACTTTGGGTCGAAGCTATTGTTGCTGCGGATGATGCCACGGCCGCTATCATTGCTAAGTCAGAAGCGCCACTTACACCTGATTCTAGAAAATATGATGGCCTTATTTGACTTTACTAATGCGACCGGTTTATGAGTCATCGCTGCTGAATAAGCCCGAATACATCTCCCTGGCGTCGAGGTCTAGGCGACAGATAAACCGCTTTTCTGCCACCAACTTGTATCGCATGCAACTCTTGAGTACGTGTGAACACAATAGACTAGAGGTGTCACGTAAATTTGCGCTAGACTATCTGCAGGTCATACCACAGAACTATCGCATAATCAAATAATTTAAACGCTATGTGTCGAAATTCTAACGAAGCAAGGAAGCAGATTAAACATCTCGCCTCTATCTTTAATAACACTACAGCATATGCATGACCTGTTGGGGATGTCGTCTAGGCAGAAATTGTCGTCTCCGTCGGCACAATTACTTGTCAAAGGGCAACATGATAATATTGCATTGTTCGAGGCGTTCTACAAAGTCCTTGTATCATGGTCAGTCCGTTGCATATCATTATTTTTAAAATAATATCGATACGTATACGATCTATTTTGGTAATATCAGATAATATACCCGGCTCATGAAATTAGATGTTATATAGTCCCTTCGAAAAGAATATTTATGGCGGATCCAATTATTGGTTGATCTAGGCCATAATACCAACCATTTCAACCACCAATCGTTGCTAGACGCGCTCAACCAGAGCGATGAGTGAAAACCTACGTAGACATGTGTAATTTAATACTGCTTAAGTAGGACATAACGAATAATTAAAATACATAAAACACAATTTGGTTCAATTCGGCTTCTTCTCTACGCAAGCAACCTATGCTTAGTGCTCTCCCACGTGCTTCTTTATAACCTCACGTGTGCTTAGTATCCCGGAATACGCAATATCAAAATAATCTTAACACAACGGCTAATCAGCAGTCTGGTAAGACGCATGACCTGTAATAGCACTCAAATGTGACAAGCCTGCCCTGTGTAGCATTTGGAAATGCACCCCACTTCGACTACAAATCATGCGCCTACAATCACATGCGCGATATACCTTTGTTCCTGAAATTACCATACATCAACATGTGGGTCAATCTCAAAATTCTCAGGTTCAACATATAATGCCTGCCACATGATAGATAGTATAGTTGTCGTAGTAACTCGGTTCTTTTTGCAATGCCACGTATTTCGTTCGAGGAGCGTCGTTCTGTGTAATGAAGATAGAAATTATCATTGCTTATATCTTGACAATTTAATTATTGCTAGTCTTGACAATGAAGATATTTGAAACGTACATATTCACATATTTGTTCCTTTGGCATTTGCAAAGACGTAGCTACAACAAAATCACTTGCATCACGGCGTAAATTTAGATTTTAGGTAAAAAATGATGATTGTTCAATGAGTTTGCCAATGTGACTTGTTTACGTCTCATCTATCGGACAAAATTTTGATGTGTAAATAAGTAAGAAAAGACAGCAACAATAACTTGCCTATGTCGCTACCATATCTCGTCACGTCCAGCTCAATACTATATTACATCTCAAGATGTTGGTGCAGATTGTTTGCATGGACATGTTGCTAGACATTAGATGCAGTTTCATATTTGTGGACCTGAAAACAGCTAATGACACCAGCACCAAGGTGATGACCTAGAAATATCTCGTATCTTCGAGCCTCGGCTTCACATTTGCAATTGACTTTCTCTTCATCGCCTTCATGTAATTTAAATGTCGCCGAGTATGACCCAGCGGTGCTGTATGATGCACTTTCATCACATATTGCATTTCGCAGCACAAACTTGGCTGTTGGCAGCTGCTCACTATCAAATGAAGATCCATGCGCTTTCTATCCATTAATCGCTATTACAATTACCTGAAATAAGACTTCTTAAGTGTTGAACACGACACTTGGAGTTTTTATAACGATAGGATAAAAATACTCGTAGCTGAAATATAGAGGAACAAAACACCAGGTTTGAAAAACATCACTAGACGGGAGGTGATATATAGGCGATACCACTTTTTGTAGATTACAGCATATAATAGATACTCCTGTACTGATCCAGGCGAAAGCGTCTTTTATATAATAATATCAAAAATTTATACACTTCACGCGTATACGGGCCATATCAAGTAGGTGCGAGTAATCGGAAGTGCTAACACGCTTGAATTAAGATAAACGCGTTTGAGTTTGCTCATGATAAATAAACGCCGTAGAACGTACTACTTGGCGCGTGCAGCAAATATTAATATATCTCTAACAATAAAGTCAGTAGAAAGTAAATGCAACATTTGACTAAGGGTGATCATGAACGAGCCTAAGAGAAGGTAGCGTATGCAAGGATAGTCTGCAAACGTGACTAGGGTTGTAATTTGTTGGTTGGTCCCGTTTCTCGGCGAGCGAACCTATGTAAATCAGTGTTTTAGAATTAAAGTTATCACATCCTGTAAAAACTATATCTGAAAGTCAACGTACTATAAATTCGAAGTGAAACCACTACATACCATCGAAATTTGTATGCATTATCATGACTGTTGTCGTTGCAGACACTGTCGACATTTTATATACCCGTTGTGTTGACATTTGTTGTTGGAAATGTGCTACACATTAGTCGATAAGGGGCTTATATTGAGAGAACAAAACAATCAGTCATTCCTAAAAGTACGCAGTTAGTAATAATGAAGGATCCAATGTATTTTAGTTTTATATACAGTATGTGTTACGCTTATTCATGATTTTATAAAAAATTATATAGTATGCTGCATACTAAGAAAATATTAATCGTTACGATGCGCTATCGACAAGTCCCTAAAGTATACTTTACACTTTTAATATGCGTAAGGTCTCGTCGCATGTGTCCACACTATCATAACTGTTGATAGTGTATCGTGGTATAGTAGCTGATAAAATGTGGAAAAATACGGCCTTGACAAACTTGACAACGCAATGGCCTAGTCAAGTCGATAAATCGGTAAATACACCCGTACATTCTTAATATTTTCCTGCAGCTGACGCTGCGCGATCAATTTAGTCAGTTGGGTTGGTGAGGTATTTTCGGGAAGCAGACGGACAACTATATCCGGTATATTCCAACCATGGTTTTGAGAGGTAGCGGCAGAATTTTCAGCTATTGTAACTGCACGAACATATTAGCTATTTTTTGCTAACAATAGATGTTGAAGTCTCCCTGAGTCATCTCCCCCAAGGCAGATCTGCCGAGAATGATTACGCTAGCTCGATCTTAATTATACTAATATAGAATCTATATGTACTACATCACATGGAAAGGCGTCATGCAGAAAACGGTAATCATTTTGACGATTTAACCATAATTAAATGTAATGTATGCTTACTTTTGTATGACATGTCTGGATATTAAGTAAGCCTGGTTAAAAAAAGGGATATGATGTCTCCAAGAGTAACGGGCTGAAAAAGTGTAAAAATTTCGAATAGGAGGATGATGTCAAATACAAATGTAGCAAGTCAAATCCATAATTTATATACCTAGCTTTAAAATTTATGCATATGATTATCTACCAAAAACGTATCCGACTTCTTGTTCTCGATCGATAGAGGAGTAAGTCACTATGATTGCTACATAGAATGGGACTAAGTGTGTGCATAAATTAATCAAAAGTCTTTTAAAATGTACCGCACGATAGTAGTTTTGGAAATAGAAAAAGCCATCAAGAATACAACGCACCAAAAAACGAGAATTTTAATGCGCCTATATGCAATGTATACAAAACAATTTAATCGCTTGGATTTAGTTTATATCTATATGGTTTAATGCGCGAAAATTTACATCGATCATGCATATGCTATATGAAAGTTGTTAGGTGCTATTCCATGATGACGATTTAGTCTTTCTTACGATGAGACTAAATTGCATATATATATATATTTGATACTCAAATCCTTTTGCTACTTGACAAGCATATATAGAGATTAATTATGAATCTATTCGGGTACGCGTGCGACCAAATATTATAGATTTGTTTTCCGCTTTGTCGATGTTTAATCGTACTGTCCCTGCGTGAAATCCAATCCACATACCCCCTGGTCCCGGTGCCAGTACATTTCCATTCGGTTACCGGGGTCGGTTACAAGGCACGTACACTATATAGAGCGCAAGCTTCAGTCATTTGACCGACCGTTTTAAAAGTGACGAATATAATAAAAAACCCAGCGAAGTTAAATTATATTCTTCTGCGTGTTTGTATTGCGCCGAGAGACTCGACGTTCAGCGATTATGTGCATAATGACCTCTGCAGCATGCATTGAATTATTTTAGTTTTATTTTTAACTTTCAATATCATACATGAAGATAAACAACTACATTTTTACTTTCTGTAGTAGTTTTGTGACCATGGCGATGATAGCAATTTGTCATCATTGCGCGCTTTACTATCATGCATATATTTGCGTCGGCAACAAAATGTGACAATCTACCATTCTTTGGGTCCTAGTGCAACGTTGTCCTAGCCGCCTACACTTGGGGACGAGATTCAACATACTGTATGCGCCCATTACGACCGGCTTGAATTCTACACTCTAGTCTACACCTAGCCGCTGTTCAGCACTCAAATCGTGCTGCATTCGGCTTTGTTTGTCTGGCATACCCGTATACTTTCTAAAGCCGTCTTTTGCAATTCTAAGTTTGATCAACTTGCCTCACTGATGCACATCAACAGAGACATCATTTTTGAGGCATTAAACGCCCTCGGATATGAATTCCTGGCCGTCAGTTCTGACATCACTTTTTGCCG